CCCACCTCCTCCTCCTCCTCCTCGCGCGAGCGCTGTTGCGCCAGGAGTTTGTCTCAAAGGGAAAGGGAGACTCCCTCCCTTTAGAAATCGGCTCGGGAGGGAGGGATTTTTAATTTTATTTAATTTTATTTAAGTTTTCTTGGTGGAGGGTAGGGGAAGAAAGAGGCTCTCGAAATGTAGAAGAGGAGGAGGAGGAAGCAGCGAGGGGGCGGGGAGACGGCTCGGGTTCTCTTCCCAACTTTTTAAAACAGCATCCTAAATAGAAGTAAAAATGGCATTAAAAATACAGAGAAATTGAATTAGAACCATTAAATCAAATTGAATTCAAGTCAGGGGCTCGGAGGGTAGGCTCCAGTTTTTATTACCCACGCTGCTTCTGGGGGGAGAAAGCTGGATTTGGGGGAAACGACACAGGCTAAGGGCTAAGAAGAGCCCACCTAATGTTAGTTAAATCCGGATCAGACCCTCTCATTGCCAGATGTTTCCCAGGTAAGGAGGGGGGCTAGCAACCTGTGGCCCTCCAGATGTTGAAGTGGGGCTCCCCTCCTCTCTGACCACTGGCTGTGCTTGTAAGTGCTGATAAGCACTGCAGCCCTAAGGCATCTTTTTAAATTATTGTTTTTAATACATAACATATAAAACAAAATGTGACATTGGGTATTATGATATATTTTGTTTTATACACACACACACATATACATACATACATGCAGAGATATACACACAGACATACAACCACTTGATTCAAATCCTTACTCTGCAATAAAGTTCACTGGACGACGCTTTACCTGATGGTTTGAACCTGAAAGGTGATCCAGATTTCAGGCAAAAAAAAAACCCACTGTTTTCTGGCTGCTGTTAGCACAACTTTCCAGAAGGCTAAACTGGGGGAAAATAGACAACATGATGTATAGAGTGATGGACTAGGACTCAGGAGACCTGGGTTCAAATCCCTGCAGGGTCATGGAAAAGTGTTCGTGTGTGTATGTTTTAACTGCTTAAAAAGCAAGGCAAAGTGTGCTGCTTATATATCGTCCCACTCTCTGCACTGTTTACAATTGAATTATGCAGGCTAATACATTCCACCCTCAGAAGGATGAATCAACCTTGAGCTGGCTACCTGAATCCACTGGGATCAAACGCAGCTCATGAGCAGAGTCTTCACTGCAGTACTGCAGTTTAGCCACTATGCTAAAGCTATGCCCTAAACATCTCACTCATCTAGAAAGCTTTACTAGGAAAATATAAATATAAATCAGTTCTGTCTTTATGGCACATAACACAGAAAGCCTAGCAATATTATCCCCAGAAACTACCAGCTAGTTTGAGATTCTGGGATTTTTAGCCAAGAAAGATAATTAAATAAATATATAACTTGCCCTGCGCGGTCACAATAATCATTAGGTTATGTTGAGAACTAACTGTTGAATAAACATCGCACAGCAGCTTTTGTGCTTGAGGAAGGATTTCAACTAAATTTAGTGGTATGCATTCAGATTCAGAAATATCCAGAATTCACTGAATAATGCCTTCTTTGGATAGTTCTGAATATATCAAAATACAAATCGGATAGTTCTGAATATTTGTAATAATAACTCCTAATATTCTGGGTCCCATTTACTCGTACAAATAAGAAAAGCCAAAGGCTAGTTTTCTGCTTGCTAGAAGAAGTGAAAGTGAAACCTATTTCTCAGGCTTCCTGAAGTGATCTCTTGAGAAATTAAACTGGGAGAGACACTCTGGCATCAAAGGCTGTGGGGCCAAAGAACTCAGCATTTCCTGATTGGGGTTGCCATGGGTTTCCCAAGGAATGGGGTTCTGGGGTGAAAATAAAACCTGAAAATGAAGTCTATTTGCCCCAATGCAAGCAAGCCAAAAGAGACAAAGAGAAACAGTCTCAGGATGTCTGGAATAGGTAACAATATGTGGTGTCTTTATTGCATGTTAAAAAGCTTAATGCGTTCCTTAGACTGTTTCTCTTTATATCTTTTGGGTTTTATTGGACGTGCCAGTTCCCTACAATTTGTTTCCAATGAAAGCAAGCACCAGAAGATATTTTTTTTCCATTGGTTCTTTCCATCGGAAAGATGAGTGTAGCTACTTGTAAATGCCCCAAGCATTTGTTGTTGGGATATGCTCTGGTGCAAGCCTGCACTGCAGCAGTTTTCTTGGTGTCCTTTTCTGAACCTTCGAATTACATTTATAAGGGGCAGGGAATGCCAGCCAACTTTTCATCCCATGCAACAGCAGCTAGTGAAGAAGATCTGGGTAGCAAAGAGCAGTAAGGAAATAGCAATACTCCAAGCACCCTGAATAGCAGTACTAATACAGTACTTGTATTCTCTAGAGCCCACGTCCCTCACCCATGCAACAA